AAATTTTATATTTATTAATGTTTCTCTTGATATTTTCTTAAAATTGTATTCAATATTCACCACCAGCATCACTTTCATTGTGCTGAAATTCATGTACAGCATTGTTTAAATGGTACAGTATGGATATTTCATGCTGAAAATACTGTATCCTTACTACTAAGTAATTTGCATGAAACCTACCATATTTTTTTAATGTACCATGCTAATATCACGGTTGTTAGACATGGATATTTATTTATTTAGTTTTAGCTTTAATTTTTGTAATTTTAAAATTTTTAAATAATTTTTAAAGCTTTAAATAATTTTTAAAGCTTTAAATTTTGTAATTTTTATTAATATTATTTAAAAGTTTTAAAGAGCACCTACTGTATGATGAAAATCATCTTTTGTAAACTGTTTGGACAGAAGTGCGTGCAGGTATAGTGTGTACACAGTCATATTGGAGTTATATAAAGACAATAAGTCTTTTGTTTATCCATAAAGTTAAAATTGGATCCAAATCCCTCCCATTTTTAGGCCGACCACAACGTGTTGTAGAAGTGAGATTTCCCTACCCACTGAATTGATTGAAAAACCCGTATTATCATGTCTACGTATAACACGTAAAATCATATCAACAAGACAGGACATGCACAAAGCAAGTGGGATCAAAAGATCTGTTCAGCTCTCTGTGATCATCATTCATGATCAAATGTGATCAAGAATGAGTTTTATAAGTTTAAAACATTTTTAAAACAGTACATGATTGAAATAAAGAGTAAAATTGCTACATAATTAATCACCACAGCCACATGTCATAACAATTATAAAAGATGAAGCTTCAATCCTGGTTTGTGGAAGTTAAATCAGATTTATTTTGTACATAATGGATATTCATACAGCAGCGGATCTTAACGTGTATCCTATCACATTACCGAGCAATGACAGTGCAAAGCTAAACGTATGTACGTATGTTAATGCACGCAAACGTTATAATGACATTATGTGTAACTCATCATTGCAGAAAGGCTTGAATTAACTCCACAACAAATACTTCAAACAACAGCTGGGAAAGTTCTTACTGTAGTAAGGGAGATCTGCTTAATTTTTGTCTGTCACTGTGCTGTTTATCTACGTGAAGGCTAAAGCTCTGACACAGCTCATTTGCATTTAAGGCAAAAACTGCTACAATGTCTTAACAGCTCAAATTTCCCAGATTTAAAAAAAAATTATAATAAATAATCTAATGAGTATTTTAAGCTAAACAGACACATTCTGGAGATACAAAAGGCTTATCTTAAGTCTTTTAAAGGGTAAATTAGGTGCCCTTTTAATTTCAATTTGCTTTATTTTATTTTACTTTTGGATATAGTCATTTTAGTACCACAGATTAAACTTATTCAAGTCATTTGCCATGATTTTGCGATTTAAAAAATACCATGTTTTGTGGGTTAAATGCCATGCTAATACAAAGGTTTTGAGATAAGTAACACAGAAATCATTCAGTACCAAGATACATACATCAAATGTGTTGCCATCTTTGCCTGTACTCTTTCGTAAATTAAATTGAACTATTTCAACTCTACATCCTACATTCTTCTCTTCTTTTATCCTTCCTCTCAACAGTAACAGAGATGAAGTGATTCAGAAGGTGGTGCAGGGGGAAATAGAGAATTGAGAGGGGAAAAAAAGAAAAGTGTAAGATCAATTCAGATCCACGTTTTATTACACAGGCTACAATATTAGCAGAGAATGAAAAAAAAAAAAAAAAAACCTTGTGAAGTAGATGACTCATCCACAGGTGACACAGTTCTGAGAGCTGCTCAGTTCTCTCAGCCGTTCCTCTGTCATTAATGGAAAATGTTTAGATACTTCTGCCATTTCCAAAATCACAGTGCACTGCGTTTCACACAAAGACTGTCAGAAAAGGAACAAAAAAACAGCCCATATCGATGATTCATAACACCAATGATCGGCAAGCAAGACTCAAATGCTCTACATTTAGCATTTATAGATGATCTATCTGATATACAGTACCAACCCACACAAATCTAATCTATTACTCACCGCACAGGCGATCAGAAACGAGCGAATTAAAAACAACACATATGTCGTCGAGAACACACTAATGTGTGCGAGTGTGACCGAGTTGGTGATAAAAATCTGCCCTGATACGTTTTTAGTGTGAGCGAGAGGATTTGAGACAGAGAAAGAGAGCAGCTGGTGTGCTGGAACATGGTAAAATGTGATGCTGAGCCATAAATGCAGAGGTCCATGGTCTTATATCGCTGTTCCTCTCTGTAGTGTTACTAAGCAACTCACAATCTCAGCCAGCAAGAGAGGGTTGAGGATGCTCTGGCAGAAAACACCTGTCATTGTGTGTGTGGCGTGTGTGAGTGTGTGTGTAGGTGTCATGCTTTGTGGTGTAGCAGGTATGTGCTGTACCTTACCACATCGATCAGAGAATGCGTCCCTTATGAAAAAGTACTGTAATTTGTTGGTAGTAAAACTGTAGTAACCATGTTTTCTTTTGGCACAGTGACTTCTATTTGAATAACCACATTTATAATACAAATACCATCTTAAATCAATTTTTTAATGGTTTCTACTGTATTTTAATGGTAAAATTTTACAATAGCTTTTTTTTTTTACATTGTATAACCACAGTTTTATCACAAATACCATAGTAAAATTATGGTTAGATTTGCAAAAACACAGTTATTTTTTCATTTACTATGGTTGACTACGGTGGCTTAGTGGTTAGCACTGTCACCTCACAACAAGAAAGATAGCTGGTTTAAGTCCCAGCTGGGCGAGTTGGCATTTGTGTGGAGTTTACATATTCTCCCCGTGTTCATGTTTCCTCTGGTTGATTATGGTAACTTAAAACTACCATTGTAATAGAATTTTACTATTAAAAATATGGTAGAAACCATTAAAATTTTCGAATTTTACAGTAAACTACTGCATTTCATTAATTTATAGTGTTATACACCATTGAATTTTTACACATCGTACCTTTGTTATGGTGGTGATTCACATAATGAACCAATGCTAATCACAAACAGCACATCCACAAGCAGAGAGATATACTAATATATTTATATATAAGGTGCTCAGTGTCATTCATACAACTACCTAACACCATCATGGTAACACAAAATACCCTTTTAAAGTAATACAATAAAAATTAATTTAGCATGATTATATACAACAAAAAAGAGGAAAAAATAATGAGAAAAATCTAAAAAGAATCATCGTAACGTCAAGATAAAAAGTGTCATCAATGCATTTTGCTACTTGTTCAAAATACTTATTTAAAGTGAGATGAAACAACAAAATTCTTAAGACCTTTTGAGGGCAATTAAATTGTTTTATACTTAATCAACTGAAATTTAAGTTAACTTGACCGATTTGTATTGGGAAAAACATGCATGAATTGTGGGGAACCCTGGAATATATATATAAGCAATATCACACTTGTAAAAGTGCGATATGGCTGTATATCGACACTGGTGGGAGGCGTGTAAATGCCATAGTGTCCCACCAGTGACGATATATCGTGTGATTTTGTGGTTATACAACAGTTTGACGGCATAATTGTGTATACACAAAAGAAAATTAAACACGGAATCTAAAAATCCTTTTGTATGAGGAACTACTTTCCTCTCGCCATTCATTCACATCTGCAGCTGACAAGTAAAATGTCATAAAGTATTTCCCAGTATTTCTTTGTTGCAATCGAGAGATCCCAATAATTAACCCTGAAAAAGCCAAAGCAGCGCCAACACTACTACATGTAGGCATTTTTCTTTCTTTTTCTTTCTTTCTTTCTTTCTTTCTTTCTTTCTTTCTTTCTTTCTTTCTTTCTTTCTTTCTTTCTTTCTTTCTTTCTTTCTACTGAGCTAGTCTGCAGTAACGAAAACAGGAGACTCATTAGAAACAAACAGATGACCATCCAATAAGTAACTCATGGTTATACAAAGAGTGGCCAACCCAAAATACATACTTTCCTGATATGTGGGTCCGATCTCACACTCAATACACTACAATTACTAGGGTATAAATACAACACTACAACATACAAAAGACAGATTATCTTAGAAAGTCACTTACCAGTTTTGTAATGATTGAATCGGCTGAAGTTAGAAATGAGTTTTTATCCTCTAAGGCAGTGGTCACCAAACTTGTTCCTGGAGGGCCGGTGTTCTGGAAATTTTAGCTCCAACCCTAATCAAACACACCTGAACAAGCTATTCAAGGTCTTACTTGAAACATCCAGGCAGATGTGTTGAGGCAAGTTGGAGCTAAATCCTGCAGGGACCCTCCAGGACCGAGATTGGTGACCCCTGCTCTAAGGGCTTATTATGCAGTCTCTGTCACCATCTTGTGAATGGACAACGTCGACCATATTTGCTCTGCAATTATAAATCTGCAATATATAAATTATTGCTCGGAAATTATAAATATTTAAAATAGGCACTATCCTTATAAATAAACTGCAAAGTTGCAACCTAAACAACTACATTCTCGCCTAAAAAAACCTCAAAAGTATATTATGTTGCCCAACAGCAGCAATATTTGTCAAACTGTAGTGAGTTTATTGATCTGCTATCACACTGGGCAGAGCATAACACAAGGGTGAGAAGGCTGTACGAGTGCTGTTTTTACGGGAATGTTGCACGGCTATCAGCCAATCAGATTTGAGAACCAGACAAAACTGTTATATATATATATATATATATATATATATATATATATATATATATATATAATGATTTCAACAGTAAAAAAAATTAATATTGCTACAGTCAAAATCTGTAACCCAGTTATATATATAAAACTCACTGTTAACCAGGTTACAGATTTTTACAGTAGCAATTTAAAAATTTTTTACAGTAGAAATCATTGCCATTTTTTACAGTGTACAAATCAAAGTCAATGTGCAAAAACACATGGTTGCTACAATTTTACTCTCACAAAAAAAAAAAAAACATGGTAAATTTTTGTAAGGGATGTTCTCATTGTGAGTGCGTTGCTGGTAGTATGTGCTGAGGAAGGTGTTGAGACCCAGCCTGTGAGTGGGGTTGTGTGGGAGCGTGTTTTGGCACTATGTGCTGCAGGAGGGTAGCAGCTCTCCAGTGCTGGTGCATGAGCAGCCCTCTCAGCTGCCTCAGGGCCGGTTTAGATAGCAGGAAGTAGAGTGGTGGATTCCAGCAAGGTGCCAGACAAATCAGGAGAATGGCAGACAGCGAGGTCACCTCCCACAGCAGAGACACCTCCGTGCTTGACGCTGATGATGGGGCGGTGGGATCGGGGCCGGGGCTTGCAGAATTGAGGGAGGGCGATAAAACATTGACGAACTCCAGCACGTAGTAAGGCAGCCAGCTGATGGCAAACACCAGTGTGGAGCCGATGAGGAGGGCGGTGGCTTTTTTGTTGCGATGGTCTGCGGCTAGAGTGCCCCGGCAACGGTAGAGGTGTGTGATGATGAGCCCGCAGTGCAGGGCAATGCAGAGGAGAGGAGCCACGTAATACACTAGAAATGCAGGAACAAGGAAGCCTAACCAGTGGCCGCGACCTACTGACCACGTGCAGCCACCATCAAACTGGATGTATGTGACTTTAGGCAGGGCCATGGCGATGGAAACCAGCCAGATAACAGCAACCGTGCCAGCTCTGTGGGATAAATAGAGGAATATACAGTAGATTAATATTTTGAAGAGAGACTCAAATAGATAGATTTAAATAAGATATACACTCAGGTCGATAAATATTAGGAGATCTGCACAATTCTAACATTTTTGGCTATACACACCAACACAACGGATTAAACAAGAATGAACAAGATTTTAAACTTTAACTTGGAATTTAAGCTAAGTATCAGCTTTAATTTAAGGGTATTAAACCCATCAGAGAGATAGCAAAAACCTTAGGTGTGGCCAAAACAACTGTTTGGAACATTCCTAAAAAGAAAGAACGCACCAGTGAGCTCAGCAACACCAAAAGAGAGAAGAGTTTTAGAAGGAAATGTTAAATTTTGTGCAATGGCCAAGTCAATTCCCTAACCTGAATCCAATTAAGCATGCATTTCACATGCTGAAGACAAAACTAAAGGGAAAATGCCCTAAACACAAGCAGGAACAAAATACAGTTGTAGTAGAGGCCTACTTAAATCCAGTGCCTGGTGATGTCTATGTTTTCCAGACTTCAGGCTGTAACTGACTGCATAGGATTTGCAGCCAAGAATTAAAAAGTGAAAGTTTGGTTTATGATTATTATTCTGTCCAATTTATTTTGGTCCCTTAACAAGTGGGAGGCACATATGCAAACAGCTGTAATTCCTACAGCGTTCAACTGATTTGGATGTAAAAACATTCAAATTAAAGCTGACAGTCTGCAATTAAAGCACACTAATTCATTTCAAATCTCTTGTATTAGTAATTAGAGCCACAAATGTTAGAATTGTGTCAATGTCAAAAATTTATGGACCTCACAGTATGTAGATATTCAAAATTTCAATTTCATCTACATGATATTGATGTCACGACCACTTTAAAATATAGTGAATAATTTTTTTATTATTTAAAATAATAAGTGCTTTAAAAATAATATTCACATTGTATTTACAATGGTGTTACAACAGTGCCAAATGTTTGGAGAATTAATTGGCAAGCTTAATATTTCAAACTTTTTCACATGTTAATCTGGTCTAATGCATGCTGGAATATACTGATTGACTATTACTGTGGCTATTTATAAGGCTATTGTGCATTAGCACAGTGCAATAAGCTTTCAATAGTTAACATTAGTTAATATGACTAAACTCATGATAAAACTACAAAAGGTTTTATTAATCGAAAGTGATGTTAACTTCTTTTTAAAAGTCATAATGCATTAACATTATAGTTGTAATCTGATTAAAAGTCATAATTATTTTATTTATTGGACTTAATAACTAATTAATTTCAGTTATAAATTTTAGCTAATCCAAACATATAGTAACTGTGATAAATCTGGCTTTTTTCACTGTTGATTGTAGTCCATTAAGTTACAAATATTTATCACTGCGACTTTATTGTACCTATTGTACTTTTACAATTTAATTTGGTTGAAACATTTGTTTACTCAGCACAAAGAAAGAAGTATGTTTTGCTATTATACCTGTTACAGTAAAATTTAAGCAGTTTAGGTCAATATCATAATGATAATGAATACTGAAAAGATTTAGAAATTAATAACAACAAGAAAATTTGATAGTCTTTTAAATACAGGAAAAAATATCATGGTATTTTTGATAGATGTGGTAGTATTGTGTGGTCCACTTATACAAATCTTCTAGTATTTAAACTTCGTGGCTATTTACTGTGTTCAGTTAAATCCACAGTCAAGTTTTCGCTCTTTTTTCTCTGAGTTCTAGTTCTGCCTCTTAAATGGCATCACAAGCATTGTATAAGATGGCAATAATTGATCAAGTGAAAGCAATGTAGTCTGACATATTTCTTGTCCATGGCATGTCACTGAAAATAGTGAGCAGTCCAGCAAGTATAAGTATTTTAGAAACCATAAGCACCTGCTTCTATGATCTGTTTATGTTCGAAATGTTTTACAATGCCTTTGGCATAGCCCAGAGCGGTAAGTGGAAAAGTTTCTTCCAGTGATGGAATATTTTAATAATATACATTGGTATTCATGTACTCTGTAATTCCAGAGTAGAACATGAAGGTTTTTTTTTTTGACATTGGTTTTTAAATATTAATATATAATATGAATATAGATGTATTGCATATATCAATCTACAACGGTATTACTGTATCATCACTCTAGCATACTATTCCTTGTAAAATGTATACAGAAAAATGTGATTTATTTATGTTCTGAAGCCAACACACAAATACAACACTGCAAAATAATGCTTCTCTCACTTAGATTTTTTGTCTTGTATCCGATCCGATCTAATAATTCTGAAATCAAGAAGCATTTTCTATACATGCAAAAAATACAGTTTTGTTTTAAGCAATAATATGCAAAAATTAAATTAATTTTTTCCTTAAAACAAGCAAAATAATCTTGTTTTTCCTATTGACATAAGATTATTTTGCTTGTTTTAAAGGAAAACCCATGTACATTTGAGATATAACTTCTTAAAACAAGACAAGATGTTTGATTTAAGATTGTTTTTATATTTGGACTAGAAACAAGACAAAAAAAAAGTAACAGAAGCATTTTTTGCAGTGAACTTTCTAGCTTTTACCAACTGTCTTTTTTGATCTCCTTCAGATACTCACACCTGTGCAGGGGTGGCTGGAGGCCGTGTCGAGGGAGCCACTATTCGATAACGCAGCACAGAGAGCGCAGCCAGGCTGAAGATGTCCACTCCAGCGGTCAGGGAGGTCATGAAGCTCAACAACACACAAACGCCTCCTCCCAGCTGCCAGTTCTGAGAGCTGGCGCTCAGCAGCACACAGGGCAAGGTGAGCAGAGCGCACAGATCAGCAAAACTCAGGTTTAACAGGAGGACCGAGCTGGGCTTTGAACGACGCCGAGGGTTACGCATCAAAACCAACCACATGAGTAGGTGACCTCCGACTCCCACCAGCAGAGAGAGGATGCTGACCAGAGGCAGCACCAGAGAGAAGGAGATGGTGGTGTTGGTGGAGACTGTGTTGAAGAGCAGATTCACAATCGCAGGCATGATGAATTACAAAAAAATTCAGTCAGTCTCTGGGATCGACAAGAAAAGCCAAGTTACCCACTTATCGCAGATTTCATTGGAATAGTGCATTTAGAGATTTTTTTTCAGCAGAAAATAATACACAGCATATGAAGCAATGGGAAGACATGATAACAAGACCCCACATTTACCAAATTAATGTGCAAGCCTGCACCCATTAAATATGTGATATACATCTGAGGGCTGGCGTTTGCAATTACGCCGACCAATTATTCACTGAGGTGGTGACAGGAACATATTCCTAGAACAATTTAAAGCCTATGGATTAGCTTTCCCAACAGAACATCCATACAGCCATTAAAGCATCATGAACTAAGGGAGTATATTAAACAAACCCTCTATATGTTAATTCAGTGTATAATGACTACAAAATCCCTCTGTTTTTATAAAATGATATTTGCACCTGAAATGTAAAAAACTTTTAGATCATGAATATTGGAATATAAGCTGTTCTGAATCAGCAGCTATACTGCAATTCTGTAAAAATAGAAGTGAACGCTCAAATGAAATAACATTATACCATTCAATTATTTTTGATGCAACAGACAGATAAACAGACAGACAGACAGTAAGCCAGACAAAAAAGAAAGGTGGCCAAACAAACAGACAGACAGACAGACAGACAGACAGACAGACAGACAGATAGATATACAGACAGGCAGACAAATAAAGGGATGGATGGAGAGTTGGACAGACAGACATACTGAAAGAAATAATGTTGGCCAGACAGACAGACAGACAGAAATAGACAAAAAATTGGCAGGACAGAGAGATGGATAGATAGACAGATGGACAAACAAACAGACAGACAAACAGACAAAAAAGAAAGAAAGTTGGCCAACCAGACAGGCAGACCGGCACCAGGGAGGACAGACAGATGGACGGACGGACGGACGGACGGACGGACGGTCAGACAGAAAGATAGATAGATAGGCAAACAGAAAGAAATAAAGTTGGCTGGACAGACAGACAGACAGACAGACAGACAGACAGACAGAAAAAATGACAGACAAAAATTGGTAGGACAGAGATAGATAGACAGATGGATGGAGGGACGGACAGACAGACATACATAAAGAAAGAAAGTTGGCCAGACAGACAGAAAGAATGACAGACAGACAAAAATTGGCAGGACAGAGAGATGGATAGATAGAGAGACAGATGAACAAACAGACAGAAAGAAAAAAAGACAGACAGACAGACAAACAAGAAAGAAAGTTGGAAAGTTGGTTGACATACAATTGGAAGGACAGAGAAGACAGACAGATACAGAGAAGGACAGACAGGCAGACAAAAATAAGAAAGAATTTTGGCCAAACAAACAGACAGACAGACAGACAGACAAATAGATTGAGAAATGGATGGAGGGATGGACAGATAGACATACAGAAAGAAAGACAGACAGACAAAAAATTGGCAGGACAGAGAGAGATGGAAAGATTGACAGGCAGACAGAAAGTAGACAAGACAGACAGACAGACAGACAGACAGAAAGAAAGAAAGAAAGAAAGAAAGAAAGAAAGAAAGAAAGAAAGAAAGAAAGAAAGAAAGAAAGAAAGAAAGAAAGAAAGAAGAAAAAGTAAGTAAGTTGGCCAGACAGATAATATTAATTGTCCATTGTCCTTAAAAATGATGGTCCAATTATACAAGCTACAGGAAAAAAAAACATTTGAAAGGTCTGACAAATGAAAAACGCTCAGGAGGAGAGAGAAAAAACAGGACACACACACACAGCAATGAACACTGGAGAGAATAGAAAAGTTACTTGATCAGGCATCAGTCTGGCAGTCTGTGGGCTCACTTCTGCTCATCTGCTCTGAGGCACAGCAGCCCCTAATACAACCACCCCCTCGACGCACAGAGTCCAACCCTCCACACACAGACAAACAGAAAAAGGGGACACACCTGTAGCCACATCTGACTGACTTTATTCATCCTCTCTCACACACCTGAATCTCTAATCTGTCTCATTAGGAAATAACAACATTCATGTGCTGTTAAGAGACTTTCAACGGAAAGAAACCAATTATGAAGCAGCGTTGAAAGGGCTGAGAAAGTGAAACAGGGAGCTAATTTACATCTATAAATACTTCATGATGCTCCACGGCCTCTTCATAACACCCCGCACACATACACACAGATACAAGACATGAGCACACTCTCCTACACACTCTGACAGACTTGTAATTTTGAAGCGAAGCTGAGAAAATGTGTGATAAAGCGCTAAAGTTGTGCGATTAGTTGGGAAAGTTTTAGGCGCAAGAAAAACTCATGAATTGTTTACCTCGTTCTCGTCTCATAAAGTCAAATCAGCTCTTAAAAGCGGATTACTGCAGGGATCTTCCGGTGTTTACTGGCTTCTTGTGATTGCAGCCATCTGCTTGAGTTACTCACTTCTTTCACTGGTCAACTTCAACCACTCGAGTGTGTGTCAGTGTGTGTGAAAGTTGCAAGAAAGGAATATTAGTAAGGATGGTGTTTGTATCGTGCACTTTGCAAAACTGAACTATGGTGTTTGGCATTCTATTGGATTAACATATCACATTATCACAAAATACAGTAGTAAAAACAACAGAATATGAGGCTACAATGATTTTCAAATCTGATACTACACACTTTTGTAATGCTCTTTATACATGTGTAGAGGTGAATACAGGAACTTAAAAGAATATGGGAGGGGAAACTACAGCTGACCAACACAGATGAGGAATGAGATCTAATCTGAAACCAGGCTAAAAAGATCTCTATCTGTAACAGGGCCAAATCTATTCAACCTAAAATTGTTCATAGATTACACGTCACACCGCTTCTACTTGACTCGAATAATACACCACTATTGGCCCACTTCCACTGACTGGTACAGTACGGTATGGTACAGGTCACCTTTATCAGGCTTGCGCTTCCACTACCAAGGGTACCCTTTTGGTGGGCATGGTGTACATCAGAAAGTTTCAGTCGACGTCATTCTCGCTCAAATAAATGTCTACAGTAAAGCAGTACAGGTCGTTCCCATATCATATGAGAAGCCCTTCTCACAAAACAGATGCTTTATACACACAAATACTGGTGTTTAAATGTTTATTACTAACTTTTCTATGAACATGATTTGATTATAACTGCAGATCAATGACAGCGCGAAATAGACTACTGTAACATCTGTAATTATATAAAATTCAAGAGTTCACACTTAGCTGATGATTAATAATAAAGCTAGTTTGGCGTGCTGTCACGGAAGAGAGCCCTGAGCTTATAAGATCCTCGAGCCCTGGGCTCCCTCCCGTTGCAAGGCGAGAGGGGAGTTTGAGCTCAGGTAGATCTCGATGACTCCCCCTCTTGCTTGTTGTAGCTAAGTGTCAGATATGGATGCTGAAAGGTGTACTCAGAGTTTAGCTAAAGTATACGGATTAATTGTTTAGAGTGCTTGTTTTTTGAACTGTGGGAGGAAATCGGAGGACCCGGGGAAAACCCACGCAACCACGGGGAGAACGAGCAAACTCCGCACAGAAATGCTGTCTGGTTTGGAAAGAAATTAAACCAGGGGCATTCTTGCTGTGAGGCAACATCGCTAATCGCTGGCCACCGTGACGCCCGTTCGAAAGGAGGGAAAGTAGGGTTGGGTGTGAGGGGGGGGGGGGTTCTTCAAGACGAAGATATTGAGATGAGAAAACTATCGTTATTTATAGTGAGTTACGGATCGTCTGATAGGATAATCAGTCATTAGCTAAAGTTGGAAAAGCTGTGAACAATCATAAGCATGTGATCCTCTCGCAATTTGTTTATAAATAAACTTCACTAAATATATAAATGCAACATATATGAACACATACAGATCCCTACAATCTCCGATATGTTTTTACTTACAGAACAACTACACACTGCTTATGTTTAGTCTCTATTTAGGTTCATAAACAACACACAACATAGCCCACAGCAAACCTCTCATTTGTGCCTGTAATCTTCACCAGCACATGTAAGCACTGTTAGAGAGTAATTTTGACATTCCGAGTTCATAATAGTCCAAAAGGCGATGATAAACATGGCAGTTTGTTCGTGAGTCAGGTTGCTGAAACAATTTGCATCTGTCAGGCTTCTCCTTTGTTTGTCCGCGTTTGTCCTTTTTTTTCTGAATGGATCAGATGATGGAGACACTTCAATAGTCATGCGCACATTGTTATCATCAGCTAAAGAAGTTCGTTACATCAAATATAGACGTAATCGTGAGCTCCCGGAAGAAAGCGAAAACCGCTTGCATTTTTACACGGCCTCGTAAAACAACAATGTGACACGACAGATGTTGTTTTTCTTGGCTTTGTGGCTGTACATCAAGACAACGACAAGGTTTGTTTGAGCTCGGGTCATACATGGCTCGTTATTATATGCATATAGTTTTACGGTTTCATGTCACGGCTGTGTATTTAAAACAATACTTTGTTTTCATTCTGGCTAGCTCCACACAAGCTCGTGACATATCTCTGTAACCAATCAGCGTTCACCTGCGCATGTAGCTCCACCTTTTGGTACGCTTTCTCGTGTTTGGTACCCTTTCGAAAGGGTGCCAAAAAAGTGGTACAGTACGGTTCGGTTTGGTACGCCGTTTGACAGTGGAAACGGCCATAAAAGGGTACTGAACCGTACCTTGCGGTCATGGCTCAAAGCTCATGACCATCGGTGAGAGTAGGAACGTAGATTGACCAGTAAATCGATAGCTTTGCCTTTCAGCTCAGCTCCTTCTTTACACCAACGAACCGATACATTGACCGCATTACTGCTGCAGCTTCACCAATCCAACTGTCAATCTTACATTACATCCTTCCCTTACTAATGAACAAAACCCCAAGACACTTGAACACCTCCACCTTGGGTGAAGACTTTCCTCCAACCTGGACATGGTTAATGATGTTTTATGATTAACAGTTAAAACGTTAATAAAAAGATCTGATACTATGGTTGAAGGCAAAATG